CAAGGCCTGCCGAACACTGGCATCACCGGTCCCTCTGACCATCACCAGCAGTTAAAGCGGGTTAAGTGTCTTGCCCAAGGACACAAAAGCCGCTTTCTCTGGTGGGAGCTGGGATCAAACCTGCAACCTTCTGATTACTGGACAACCCACTACCTCCTAAGCTACTGCTGTCATAAATACTGTTAAACAAAACGTTATTATAAGCATGATTAAAATGATCTGGAAGGACACACACACACACACACACACACACACACACTTGCTTTTTACAGTTTTCTTGAACAGGATCAGTCTGCAACGAAAGGAAAAATGGAAATTAATTGTCCATCTAAAGTAAATGTACTGTAAAATATAATTTATGGAACAATTATGAAAATGGTGTACTTAAGTGAGAGAAAAATCAATGGATTTCTCTTTCATTTTCAGGCCTGTTAGGAGTGTTGGCATTAACAGCTGTAGTGGAGAGCAATTTTAGGTTTAAGCTTCGATGAGATAAAAAAATGTGTTGCATTCAACGGGATTGAGGTTTTTCACTGCTTACTGCTACCGTAGCAAATCCAATGGGGGAAAATGTTATACGAGTGATTAAAACACTCAGGGGTGACACCTTGACTAGCTGACAAGGTTTGCTATTTGATACAACACATTATTATGTGCTGGTGTTTAATTGCACAATAAACTCAGATTTCAGAGATATTTTGTTAAAGTTTCAATACCTGCAGATGTGTGGTGATAATATGCTTTTCTATCAATTCAAGTGTTGACTTTTCTTAGTGACGTATCTCATCATGTAGTGAAGGACATCAATTTCATCCTGTCAACTACTGGATGCTAAAGAGCCTTGATGCTTTTGTCATAAAAGAGAGGATTATCACTGAAATACTTTAAGATTTTCCTTTTTTTAGTCATCTTTGGAAGTTGGCCGAGTAGGTTGAAAATATTAGAAGGTTTGAGAATGAAAAGAGAGGTTTGTGACAGTGCTGAGGTTACTACTTTGAGGGACAAGAGGAAAAAAAGTGCTAACTCTTAGCTGAGGAGCAGCTTTGCTGCGTTGCATCGGAGGGCTGGATGAGTGGGCGGCTTTTAGATGTTTCTTCCCTTTTCCCTACAAAACCTCTAAACCAAGTATAGAAATAACACTTTGTGAGCCATGAGCCGAGCAACGTGGGGACTTCTGAGGTGAACAGAAGTGAAAGTGTCATAACAAATGTTATTTCATTTTTATTCTCATTGACTTCTTCTCCTTCTCCTTCTTCAAGTGTTAGGATAGGGGCTGGTGGGGACAATCAGATTTCTATAAAACCTGTTCTATAAAAACGCGATTGTCTTTTATTATCCCCCCTCAAATACTACTTTTTATTAACTGATTTTGATGCTGATACACACACACACACACACACACACACACACACACACACACACACACACACACACATATATATATATATATATATATATATATATATATATATATATATAAACTTTGATACTTTTAACTGTTAGACAAAAAGTAAGTAGTTTTGAATTTCAGGCATTCACCTAAAAACACAGAGAAGTTGCGGAAATGTAGTTTTGTTTGCACATGCAGACTGAATGTGAAAATCATCTCCTACACTTATCTCCTGCATTAGCGTCTGATGGAAAATAAAAGGTGAAACACCCGGATGTGAAAAGCCTGACAGATCTATGTCACACTGTTACTTAACATTCATGGACTCACCCATCTTGACTCACGACGGGGAAGGCTGTTGTTGGTTTGCCGTCAAGGAAACAGCAGAAAACGTGTCAGCTTGTACAAACTAACTATTAGCATTAGCAACTCCACCACACAGCAACACTCCTTCAGGTTCTTGTTATTTGTGGAGATAAAACATCTACATTGCAGAGCAAACTGAGTCAGTGGTAAAGTCTCATTTCTGTTAGCCAATCAGAGGCAAGATGCCCAAATATCAGGAAAAAAGACTCAAGTTCCTGTCGTTTGAAGCTACTTTCTCCTCTGGTTGAATTCTTTGTGCTGAAAAGGTGCACCAGAGCTTTTTTTTTTTTTTTTTTTTACCCCAGAGTAAAACTTACAAGGCATTCATCCTAAAGACAACTACAGCCTAGAAATATTGAAGGACAAGCAAAATGATGCGTGCAAATACATTTCAAAAGACAACTATAGATCCCGCCTTTCAACTGAAGTTTCTCTTCGGATTGCTTTCCAAGCTAAGAGACAACTGCAAATGAATAAAAAATATAAGTAAATTCCTCCATAACAGATAGTTGTGACATGGTTATTCTTTCTAGTATGGTGCAGTTGGATGCTGAACAGACGTCTCTGGGGGTTAGAGGCAGTGCTGGATTTGAGTGTGGTTTGCTTTTGACCTGTTTTACTGTAATGAGTCTACTCTCTAACAAGCAGTTACACCAGGACATTGCTGCTTTGCCGTTATGTTGTGCCTTCTGTGATTTAACTTTTCATTTAACCTTTGCCTTTTGATTGCAAAAGATTTTATTTATCAATAAACTCCCACATTTGCTTTCTTCACTGCTTTGGACCAGAAGTGGAAGTGTTTTCTGCCTAATAATTGTGTGAACCCAACCCCCTGCAGGGACCATGTCTAGTTTGTGATTTGACCAGATGCAACCTCATGAACTGTTCTGAGTGGGCAAATCTAATCAGTGCTAATTGGGACTAGATCCAGCATAAAAACTCAACGTGTCAAACTCATCAAATCACATCATGTTCTGATTAAAGGATGAATCGAATAACAATCAATCAATCAGTTTTATTTTCTTGATTGTAAGCATTAAGATGAGTATCAGCAACAACTGAACCTGTGGTTTCTCACCCCAGGATAGCAATGTTCTTATCAAATTAATAATTTATTGATAAACGTATTTCCAATCAGATATCTTAAGTGTTCTGAAAAGGTGGTACTGAAGGAACCAGGCTACGGTGGCAGGCAACAGTGTTCAAAGTTTAAAAAGTAGTACGTTTGGCAAAAATTAAATCCTTCCAGTCAAAATTGTTCATCAGTTTAGATATATGAAATATAGCTGAGTCATTTGTTTTTATTTCACTGCAGAAGTTTCAAAACCTAGGCAGATAATGCCTTTGTCTCCTAAAAATCTCATGGCAGAGAGTGTATCTGGGGCTACATTTAATTAATCATTTACTTCCTTTTATTAAAACAGTAAAGAAAATAAATGGCAGCAGATCTAATTGAGGGCCGTAGTGAACAATGGTAAAGACTGTAATCCTTGACCATAAAAATATCAATTTTGTCTTGCTGGTGGCAAACTCTAATAGAGGTTGTCCTTCATCCTCAGCACATGGTGGGTGAACAAAATACCAGATGGGTGTAGGTGACAAATACCTTTTTCTGCACCTCTGGAAAAAAAATCATCTCCACAGCACCACACAGCCACAATACATTCACACGAAGCAGGGCACCTTAGTCTGACACTTTCACATTTAACAACAACCTGTCATATAGCATTGTCCCAGTCCTGGGAGTGGATTTAGTAGACTTGACTGATGGTTTTAAACATTTGTAGCATGCTCTTTTAAGGACAAAGGCTTCAAAGATTTTTGCTTACACTGGATTTCAGTGAGGAAAACATATAACGTCCTCTTGGGGAATAAATTCAAAATCCTCTGTTTCTTCTTTGGGATCACTTTAGTGCCAGTGGTAGAGAGTGGTCATTTTCTGGATTTTAATTCCAGCTCTGCAGCTTGTTAAAATGTCATTGTAAAGAGTTAATTCAACAATCAGTAGTTGACCCTCTTTAGGGAATTATGTATGATTTTTAGAGATCTGATAGTCTGACCATGTACTGTGATATAATGTAGGCAATACATCCACTTTTAGTGGGGGGCTCATCCCACAGAGCCCCATGCAATTTGAATTGAGCGCTGTCCAGCATTAGCCAATAGCGTTAGAAATCTGTTTAGATACAGATATCAGCCACATTGTATGCACGTTCGTTTACAGCTGCATCTAAACAAGTTTATATGTAAATAAACAGCATAACAAGAGAATGATACCTGTAAAACAATGTGTTTTAGCTGGTCAGCTAGAGGTGCGCCTACACAAAAAAGAGGCATTGCTTCCAGCTGCAATTGCAGAAGTAGGAGGACCTTAAAGTGTGATTCATTTTTCTGCCACTAGATGGTGGCTTCTGATAAAAACTCAGCTTTAAGGATGCAAATATTTACCAAGATGTTTCAGTTTATTAGTTTATGACTTCTTTGCTCCGTCACAAAGCAATATATTGTTATTTATTTTATTACGAGTCTGCAAGCATCTTTTTCCTCCATCAATCTACTTTAGAGTGCTTTGAAAGCATATTTTCATAATATCCACATCTCCTTCAGCACTGTAAAAAAAAAAAGTTGGGAAAACTCAAAATTTTGAGGCAACAAACTTCAGGAAATTTTTAAGTTTGGCGCATCAACTTAATATTCTAAGTTATGCATTTGATTTTGACAAACTCTCCATTCTAAGTTTTGCTAACTTAGTTATAAGTTGGAAAGACTCAAAATTTTAAACTGTAATAAGTATGAAACCTGAGTTTATCTAACTCAAGTGTATGTTGTAGCAGCTTTGAATCCCAAGTTTTTGTTACCCAATTTTAAGTTGTAAAAACTTAAAATTTTAAATAGTACTGACTGTAAATCCTAATGTATACCTCAATTTTAAAAGTTACACTTACTTAAAATTTAACATTACACCAGCTATTATTTTTGACTTTTCTAAACTCAACCAAGTTATTGAGGCAAAACATTTTAAATTTCAACAACTTTTAATTGACCTTAGCTTACTCCACTACAACTTGCTGCAACTTTTAACACATTTCACAGCGAAAAGTTGAATTACCACCTCATGTATATATTGCATACACCAACTCTGTTATTAAACAGTATAGGAAAATGTCATTTTTGATAATAGACCACACTTAATAATGTAACAGATGTGTTTAAACAGCAAATTCTAAACAAAAGCAAATTCAAATGCCGATGACACAAGTGTTTTTATTTTGAACTTTTGTCACATCATGTTAAACACCATGTGTAACACTTACCAAAAACAGAATGCTTAGTAAAACACTACACAAGTTAAGGTATGGAGCATAAAACTTATCTTGACGGACAATATTGGTATTAAAACATTATCTGTTTGATACAGAACCAGCTGAAAAAGCTGAACTACAACTGTAGGAAGCCCAACACATCTAGCTGTGAGACCAGCTGTAAGACTAAATTATTTTAAACTTATGCACTTTAATGTACAATTACAAGACCCTGGCATGTACCTGGTTGAGTAGCCCAACTCCAGAATAACTGGCTGAACAGGAACAAACAAAATGCTGACCTTGTATCAGACATTTTAAAAGAAACTCCAGTAAAACATAAACATATCTAGCATAGCATTACAAATAAAAATTTATATAATATTTTTTTCTGTATAAAACTGTTTTTATTAAAGTGGCAACAGTGGAAACAGTGACTTGAGCTCTAAATTTAAGTAAGCACAAAAGTGAAAAAAACTGCAAGACATTAAAGAAAAAAAAGGTAAGGTACATCCAACAGCTACCATATAGGATTCATAGAAAAAGCCTGTTTTTGAGGGATCTTACCCTTGCCGACAGATCTGTCCCAAGTCCCATAAAGATTTTCTGAACCGTTTCAAAGGTGTACCTGAGATCTTTTGGGTATTGGAGGTTTAAGACATAGATCAACCCAAAGACAAAGCCAAAAGCCGTTGGCAGATCTGGGAGATCCTGAAGGATGATTGTTTCTTCAACAACCACAGCAAGGTTCATCACATTTACAGCAGGTGAAGTACCGTCATCCTCCAGCACAGTGAGGATACCCACAGAGAGACCTCTTGTCTGCTCCTCCTCTGGGTCAGTATCCTGTTAAGAGATGGAAAACAATGTTAATGCTTTATTGTAGGGCTGGGCAATATGGACCAAAACTGATATCTCAATATCTTTTAGCTGAATTCCGATATACGATATACATGGCTATATTTGTCCTCCTGTAAATTATTTACAAGTTAACTCACTTCAAGCTGTCTTGAGAAAAAATATACAAAAATCAGTAGATTAAATGCATAAAAGTGTATTGATTCTTGTCAAACTTTAACTTTAGTGCCTATTCTCTACCAGCCTGAGCTTTAGAAACACTGGTACAGCTGTCTGCTGACACACACACACACACACACACACACACACACACACACACACACACACACACACACACACACACACAAACACACACAGTTGAGAGCTAGAGGTATATCAAATGTCCCACAGGCACTTTTAAATTATATATTTATAATTAATGTAAAAAAAAATTTTTTCATCTACAGGTGGGCCATATCATATATTTCTTGTCCAGAGAAAATAAATCTATCATGTTAAACTAAATTTATGATGATGTAATTGAATCTACTCAATATCACATGGGCCATGGCCATGCACCGTGGAGTTATTAGTTATCAGGGCAAACATGGCTGGAGTCTAACATAGCGGCTAATCGCTAGAATAGCAGTTTGACCAGTTATATCGATATGAAGATATAAAGTCATCTTATATCTTGTATAAAAATTATACAGAAATTTGAAAAATATCGATAAATCGCCCAGCCGTACTTTATTGTAAACCAGTCTGAAAGATATTCATATAGGCCATCTTTCACATTAAACATTTCCAATTTAAACACTGTAACCAAAAAGCTATGGTGTAATATGTAGAAATCGACTATATCAAGAACAGTTAAACTTTTGAAGGCTTTGGGATATAGAGATCACAGAGAACACTGAATGAAATGACGGCTTACATAAGACAAAAGAACAGGGAAACAGTAAATTAAAGGCATGGCATACATTTACTTTATTTTTATTTGTTAATGACTCACAAGGCAGCTCCTGAAGAGTTTCTCATGACTGTCACGAAGATAAAAAGGGAGCCCCTTCAAAGCAGTGGTTTGGCGATGCATTGTGATGTCAGAAGTCTGAAAAAGTTACACCAAGCATTAGAAGATGGAAACAAATAGAAAGGAAACAAAAAACAGCTTAGAACCATATTCAGAAGTCTCAGTTGTGTGTGTGTGTGTGTGGTTGACTGTCCTGTGTGTATGTCATTTATGTTGCCCTGCGATGGAGTGGCATCACCGGTCACCCACTGACAAGGGTGACCCTGTGATCTTGCCCTGTGATCGCTGGAGATAACCAAGACCCTTCACGGATTAAGTGGAATACATAATGAATTGATGGATATTACCAAAGACATTTGAAAAAAAGTAAAATAAATTCCCTTCCTTATAACACTGCTTTAAATTGTTACTACTGTCAGTCCTCTGTAAACTGTAATTATAAATCAACCAATCACAATTTATTACAAAAAAATATGTAACTCAAAGTGCTTTACAAATTAAAATGACTTCACATTACCCAAAATCCCATCCCTTTCCCACAAACATAAAAGCAATTATAACAATTAAGCCCCCTTCCCACAACCTATTTCCCAGTCACACATGCACAATGAAAAACAACAGAAGTAAACACTGGACTGAGTTCAGGTAGGGCAGGTAAAGAAACGCCATCAGGGAACCCACCTGCCCCGAGAGCAGAAGATCCATGGCACCAGTAGAGGAACCGACACAAGGCACCCAATCAAATCCACAACAAAAAACAAAATAATGAGATTGTTCATTTTAAATTTTACCTCCTCATCCAGCCTGTTGAGGAGTTGATCCATCTCAGCAGGGAAAGTTGTCCTCTTAGCCCGATAGAGTTGAAGAAGCCTGGATGTGTGCTGATTTAGGCCTGCTCTGAAGCTGTCCATCAGGTCCTTGTTGGTGATTCGATGGAACTCTTCCCTGATCTGTTAGACCAGTAGAACAGCAAATATATATTTTTTATTGCGCAATTAATTCAAATTAAACATAAGTACCACTGCTTACCTCTGCCTCATTAAACAAAGCAGGCCACCGTTCCATAACCTCTGTCACCATTGGCTCCACCTCCACAATCTCCTTCCGCCTCAGGGAGAACGTCAGCTCCATCTTTTGTTTTATGAGCACAGGATCCATCCTTCTCTTTTGTGACTCCTCGAGTAGAGCCAGTCTTTCCTCTTCCAAAGAGTCATCACTATGACTATCTGGATAGTCCGGGACATAGTTTATTTCTCCACGTTTTGCTCTCTTCAAAGAAGAATTTGTGTCAACATCTTCATTGCTTTTTCTTTTGCGGTTTATGCTGACTTCATTACAGCCTGCCTGACGTAGTTTGGACCTATAATTACCAAGTTTGTATTTAATGCTCATCTTCCATCCATCATAACCTGATCCACTGCCTGGTTCTTGAAGACAGGGGTGTTTGGTGACCAGAGCAGAAGCTACTGATTCAATCTGGTCTTGGTCAGGATAGGCTTTTACCTCAAAAACAGCCTGAGCAATCTTGTCCAAAATGTCCATCTTCATGTCTCTAGTTATGCTTACAACTTTCTTTGTGTTTTCGTATTCGTCGTTCCCTTTACGCAGTTTCAATTCCACATCATATGAAAAGGCTGGAATGGTAAATGGTGAAGGCCACTCAGATACACTACGCAAATAGCTCCTAATAAAAGCTGATGGATTTTGGAATGCACCTCCAGTAGATGTACTGGGTGTGTCAAGGGAAGACCCTGAAACAAGTGCGTCAGACTCTTTATGAGGATGCTCAGATGACTCCTCCCAAAGAATATGCAAGACGGCACGTTCAGGTGGCAGCTCATGAATATCCATCAAGTTACAGAGGGCATTATTAAAGTCTGGGTCCTCATACTGGATTGTGAAGCTGCCTTGAAGTTGCAGTTTTTCACGAAGGCTGTTCTCCAAGTGTTCAACAGATTCAGGAACTTCAGCAAGAGCAAGTTTGCGAGTCATTTTGGGGGAGATTTTCACCAACAGCAACAATCCAGCCTTGTTGAAATGAGAAAAACAAAAAGACACAAGAGATAAATGTTAAAATTATAACAGCTGGAGCCTAGAAATAAGGTTGTGGTTAATTACTTTGTTGACAAAAACATATAACAAGGAGTTATACTAAGGAAGTTAGACTTCCAAAGTACAATGAGTAGAAGAAGAAAAAAATGCTGCTCACTTCCAAATAGACCACTACACTTACATGTGCCAAAAGGAACAATTCTAAACACAAACTGAAATTAGGATGTAGATACCATATCATTGCACATATCACCACAACCGAGTGCTACTCTAAAAGGTAATCTATAAACTTACCATTTTGTGTGACATCAATGGAGCAGGCACACTTTTGGCGTCACCAGATTCTTCCCTGCCACTGTGTATGCAACCAATGGAAGATGGTGGTTGAGATCCTCCAGATCCAAAAGCTGAATTTCTGTGTAGATACCTTCAACAAGCTCGAAAGACCTAAAATGTTCCAGGTACCAAGAGGTGAGCTTTTTGCAAACAAAAGCAACTTTCTCAGTGTTGATTATCATAGTCACAATTTTATAAAATTCTGGCAGTCCGCTGTAGTGTCCAGCTGACAGAATCATACCCTCTGCATATCGGGTCCCATGCAACTGAATGTCTTTGGAAAGAGGCACAGTTTCAAGGTGTGGGTAGTTTCTGTTAATCACTTTGCTCAAAGCTAAATCCAAAGCAGATGTTCTGATATTTGTTATTTTTTCGACATGCAACATGGGCTTGAAGAGACTTTGACTATCAAACTGGCATGCCATCATCTCCTGGTGTTTTGTAGACAAAGAGAGCAAAACATTTTTAAAGTTCTGATTGTCATGCATCGTTTTTTTGAAAAAACTATGCTTCGACTCAAACCTCATTGTCCATAGTTCAACCAAGGGACCAAAGCAACGTATGAGGTGAGGATAATGTTCTGCAAAGTGGTGCTTTGGCCGCAAACTAAAACCAGGAAAAGTGTCAGTGAGCAACTTTCTGTGGTCCGACAACTTGATCTCCAAGTAGTGCAATTTCTCCTCCGTGAAAACATGTGACATAACAATCTCAACAATTTCTTTAAGGTCCATTAATATCTCCCATGAAGGTTCCTGTTCCGGTATGTTTTTTCCAATAAAAAGAGGAAGGAATCGTAACAGGGACCAGTTTTCATGCCCGTTGCCACCTATACTGCCCTTTTGTAAACTTGCCTTTGAAATTATCTTTGGTTTATTCACCCTGTCTGAGTATTTAAAAGGAAATGTAGTAATTACAGTGTTCAATCTTTCCAAAGTAATAAATCCTTTGGAAATCAACCTATTTAGACACAAACATAACTCTACTGGAACTACACCTTCAAAAAAGTCATGTAGAATATCTGGAGGAAAACCAGTGACAGGGTGAAAAAATGAAAGATGCTCACTTAGTACACAGTCACTTTTAACACCATTTACATGTGCAACATCCCCATTTTTAAGTTGCACCAGACATGTAGCGTGCTGTTCTCTGGACCGTAGCTGGAAATCTGAAATTGCAATGGATTGTATTTCACTTCGACTTGTCAAACAAAACCGACAAAAGTTGTTTACACAGAAACTCTCCTGAAAGCCAGCAAGTCCATGAGCTCCCAAATTGTCTGCACATACGCAAAACACTGAAGCTTTTACATGAATGTCAAGAGCTTCAACAAATACTCCAACTTGTTCAAGTGATTTTAAATCTTTAACTAGTGGCTTGAAAAACTTTTTGTAACCGAAATGTTTAACATCACATGTCTTTCCAAGGAGGGCTAAGTGAATTGAAGGTAATGTGGAACGAAACTTTACAGGTAGATTGAGAATCACCCAATAAACTGCAGAAATTTTATGAATTTTCTTTGATGTGCCTAATGGATTACACAATTCAAAATCATCTATGTAAAGACCTAACCCAATAGACGGCTCTTGTTCTCCAAAAATTTCATTCAATTTGAAATAATGACCATCTTGAAAAGACTTGTAATATCCTGGTGTAGATTTTTCACTGAAAACAATTTTTTCCAAAAACTCTGCTCTATTCAGAAAAAGCTCAATAACCTGATGTACAGAAACATATACAAATGATTTTTTTTGAACTCCTGTCGTACAACCACTCAGTTGGTTCAATGATAGAGAAATGCTCTCTGAAATATTTATTTCTTCTATAATGAGTTGATAATGTACCTTTTTCTGATGTGGCAAGAAGTACTGGATTTTTTGTTATCACAGTGTCACTTATCTCCTGAACAATATTTTCCTCAACTTCAATATTATGCTTTGCCAAGATCTCTTTAATGACTGCTGATGTACTGTACTTAGAAAGGGAAAAGATTTCATTAAATTCTTCTATGATTGTCTGTATTGCGTGTTTAGGCACATGTAACAGACATTGCATACGAAGAAAAAGGGAGGCAAAATGGTGCTCTACTATTTCTGAATCCACATTTTCTATACAGTTGATTTCATTTTCTTCTGTCAAACTTGATGAAAACTCAGGTTCATTTCCATCTTCATGAAACAGACCAGTGTTTTCAGACAGAATAAAATGAACTGTCTCAACCGATCCTCTAAAATCTTTAAGTGTGTCGTTTTTATGGTTGCGTGATATATGACCTGTAAAACTGTTAAGGAGATTTGTTTTGAAGCTGCAGTTAAAGAATGGGCAATGTACAATCTCTCTGTTTCTAAGGTGATGATGCAGATGAACCAAAATTTTCTTTTTACAACAAATGTCTCTGAAATCACATAGCCAACAATTAAAAGTTACGTTTTCTTGTCTTTGAACAGTCCTGTGTGATCTTGAAAGGTGAGATTTCAAAGAACTAATTGTTTTAAAAGTGCATAAACAGTCCGTGTGGATGCATGGCCAGGCATTACTTTTGTGATGAAGGCGGTAGTGTTTCAGAAGAACAGCTTCGGCGGCAGGGGCGAATTTACAGAATTTACACTGCATTCATTCATTTTATTCTAAAAGACAAAAGGGAGAATTTGATGGAAATTAGCAAACTAGATAATACAAATACAAACATTTTACATAATACCGGTAGGTTATTAAAGACAGAACAAACAAATTGTTGTTAGGGAGATTTGTCAAATCTAATACGATATAGTGATCTACTAATATTAAAAATTAAAACTTTTTTTTTTGGCCCCAGGAGCTGATTGCAGCAAGTGAAACCATTAGTTAGTTTTTTATTTTATTATTATTATTATTATTATTATTATTATTATTTTTTTTTTTTCATTTTTCACAGCATACAGATCCACCAGGCAAGGTTAAAAAGTAGCCTATACATTCAGTTGCAGACACCTGATGAAGTTATATGACAAAATGTAAAAACAGAAAAGAAAAGAAAAAAGAATTGAGAACAGAAACTCACCTCTAAGCAGCCTGGTCCAGAGTTAGTGTTTGGCCCCACAGCTCTGCGTTGGTGCACTGTTTGCCAGTGTTTGGACTGGCTCCTCCGCGTTTGGGCTGGCTCTTCCACGTCCTGCTTCTACGTCCCGTTGCTCTGTGCATTTCCTCCGCAGCCTATCAGTATTTGCCCCTCCGTCCCGCTCCTCCGTGTTGTCTGCCCCGCAGTCCCACTGCTCCGTCCTGGTGCCAAATCTGCTCCACCGTCTATGGGTGTAAAGTGTACTAAAGCATAATTTTGTAGTTTTTAAGTCAATGCACATTCGACACTAATTGCTAGCTGCTGTTGCTACATTAGCCATTAGCAATGTGAGTAAGCAATTATTCTCTCAATATTTAACTTGTTTATCAAAAGAAATTGAAATATCATTAGTGGTATAGCAGATATCATTTCAAACAATAAACAAGTACGAAATGAAACAGTTAGTTACAGAGGTCCATGTTTTTTAAGTACAAGCTAGTTGCAGAATATAGCCTATAGCATAAATCTAACCCTCGACAGCCTTACCTTAAAAAAATCACCTGTAAAAGTTGTTTATACGTGTAGGCTAACTTTATAGAGCACAAAACATATTCATAATTTATTTTTAACATAATTTGAACCCAGGAAAAAGGGGAAAACTTACCTATGCAGCCTCCTTTGCCTCCGACCACACGCAGAATGAGACTGACTCCTCCAACTCCAAAAGTCGACTTTCCCGCATTTCACAACAAAAGCATGGACGTTAGCAGAACTTGGGCGCGATATTATGAAGTCAAACTTATATATGTAAGTTCATACGACTCACTTAATATTGTTGAAGCACACAACTAATTTGGTTTGTCGGGCTGACTCAATTTATTACACTTAATTCGTGAAACGTGGATTTTAAGTTTAAGCAACTTAAAATACCTTTTCATCTCAAAAAACATAAGTTGCTTTTATTACAGTGAGGATATTTTTGCAACATACAACTTGTCCCCCGCTGACAGTATCACTGTTTAGTTGAAGTCTCTTCAGTGACACCTTATGTTCAGGATGAGAACTGCAGCAGTGCCCATTAGAAGCAGCAACTGTTAAGTGTTGTTTGTCGTGAGTATGTGGCCAGTGGCGTGTCAAGACGGGGTGGCCCAGGTGGAGTACTTTCTTGCGCATGGGTGGAACCGATGGTTACAGTATTTATTTATTTATTTATTTATTGATTGATTTATTTATTTTTGCATTCTAGTGAGTTTGACTTTGGCATTGTGCCGTGACCATTTTCTTAGTGTTCTTAGACTTTGAACAGTTTTGTAGTGGTTAAAAAGTCACATCTTGGTGCATTACGGCCAACAACCAGAGTAGAGTGGGACTGGGTCCCGGACTCTAAATGCTATTTATGTCAACATGATAAACTAATAAATGTTAATAATTATAATTGTAAGCTGAAAACCAACGTTAAAGTGCATGTTGCCCCTTACTGTCTCGGGGTTTAAATTGAACTCAGTGGGGTGGCCATTCAGATTCCAAGCGTGGCATGTGCTATGCAGGTCACTCCCTGGACACGCCTCTGTATGTAGCTCAATTCATATTTCTGAATTAAAGCCCCCCCAAAAAAACTGAATTATAATTTGAGTATTCTGAAGACAGAAAATAGTCTATACTGCCTTAACATTTATTTAAATCCAAAATGCTAAGTTTGGTAAGGTTTGCATTTTGTGTTGTTTTATTTTGTTTAGAAATGGCTCCTGGATAATCTATATGCAATATAAATAATATAATATAAATGTATTTGAAATTTAAAGTTACATAAATAGGTAACTGAAATTCTCACTGCTTTTGTGCAAATACAGAGGAGAAATAAAATGATTCTGCTAGGCCTTCAGGGAATTTACAGAGTGACATGTTAACTGTTGCCTCTAAGGCAAGCATTTTTTGATGGAGTCCCTGAAGTATGATTATGAGAGCCATGGTCCGCCACCGGAAACAAACTCACTGACACGCTGATAAAATCCCTGCCCCGTGTTTATGTCCCATTTTGCAAAGAAATCAGAAAAGGTA